CCCTTTGTACCCTTTTGGAGAAGTTTTTGGATGTGCATAGGGATTTGATTCTTAGATGGTCCCATTCATCTATTTTATCCTCTCTAGGTTATAGATTTTTTCAGGATGCTTAGAAGATTGTTCATGTTGTTGACTGGGGCTTCTAAAGTTATCCCAAGCTTTTCTTTAATGAAGTCTATAGTCTTTGATTTTTAAATGGTTGCAACAGTCAACAGAAAGTGCTATAAATTCAACTCAGATTCAGAAGATGCCTTGAAAGGAGTGAAGTCATTGCTAATGTCAAATGAATCTTCATTGAAAGCAGAGAATACTAGAAAGCATTTATTTGTGTTTAATTGATTATACAGCGGCATTAACTGTGAATAGTAACAAATTATGCCTAACATCAAGAAGAATGGAAATCCCAGAACACTAATTCATAAGAAACCTATATTTAGGCCAAGAAAGACTTGTTTGAATAGAATAAGAGAATATTAAAAAAAAATTAAAAAAAAGAATAAGAGAATATTGACATGGTTTAAAATCAGGAAAGCTGTGCATCAGGTTTGTATTCTTTCTCTATACCTATTTGTTTGCTAAGCAAATAATTGGAAAAACTGGATTGTTCAAAGAAAGATGTGATATCAGGACTGGGGGGAGTTTCATCAACAACCTGTATTATGCAGATGATACAACTTTCCTTACAGTAAGTGAAGAAGGCTTGAAGTACTTATTGAAGAAGATCAAAGACTAGAATTTTTCATATGAGACATGTCTCAGTGTTGAGAAGGCAAAAGTCCTCACCATTAGACAAATAGGCAACATTGTGATCGCTGGAGAAAAGACTGAAGTTGTTAACACGTTGCAGCACACTTTTAAATTGACGACCATGCTTAGAAACACATTTTTTTTTCGATGCATTACCATCATTTGTGGCAACATGTTAATAATTTCATTTTACTTGAATCTACAGTCAATACAATTGGTAGCAGGAGTTAGGAAATCAGATAACTTCATTGTATTGGAGAAATCCTAGAGTAAACATTCTTGAGACTGAGGTGAATATAGATAGCAGATAAGATAAATAATATTGGGCAATTATTGGTAATTATTGAAGCTGGTTGAATAGGAGTATGATGCAATTGTTAGCCAATAAGTACCTAATCAGGGACTATTAAGATTGTGGTTGAATACCTAGATACAGATATATAGATGATGTATAGATATATATAGTGATATTTTCGGGTTTTGTTGTTGTTTCTGAGTTTGAAGAGCTAATAAATGTTAAAATAGATATTAAGTTATTTCCTCCTCTTCTTTCTGCTTCAGCTAAAGTTAAGTTTTCAAATATCTTGAATGCGTATTATTTTCAAAAGTGCTTTTTATAAAAATAAGTTTTATAGTTTTTAAAATAATGTACTTAAAATATTTCTTTTAAATTTTTAATGCCAATACTTTTCTGCAGGCACGTTTAAAAAGGCCTCTTAAGAGCTCTGATGGTGCCCTGTATGATGACAATGAAGATGATATAGAAAGAGCAAGCAAGTAAGTGATGGATGTCGGTGGCTTATTAAATGCTGTGATGTAAGGGTTGTTGTTTGTTGTTATTGTTATGTGCCGTCGAGTCGCTTGCGACTCATAGCGACCCTATGTACAACAGCCCTAAACTCCGCTCTGTCCTGTGCCAATTGCCCTGTCTCGGACACTCTCATCCCAATTATCCCAGTCACTGAATCAATCCACTTCATAGAGGGCCTTCCCCTCCTGCGCTGTCACTCCACCCTCCCAAGCATGATGTCCCTTTCCAAGGACCGGTCTCTCTTCACAACATGTCCAAAGTATGTCAGACGGAGCCTCAGAATCCTTTCCTCCAAGGAGCCACCCGGTTTAACCCTCTCCAGGACAAATCTGTTTGTTTTCCTAGCAGTCCATGGTATTCTCAATACTCTTCTCCAGCACCACAGCTCAAAGGCATCAATTCTCCTTCTAGCCTCCTTGGTCATTGTCCAACTCTCTGATGCATAACAAGTGATTGCGAAGACCATGGCCTGTATCAGATGCACCCTATTCTCCAGAGAGACACCATTGCTCTTCAGTACTTTGGAGAGGTCCCTAACAGCAGACTTTCCCATGGCGATGCGCCTTTTAATTTCCTGGCTGCTGGTGCCAAGACTGTTGACTGTGGAGCCAAGCAAACTAATGTACAATCTCAATCTCTTCACTATCCATCCTGATGCTGCCAATTGGTCCAGTGGTGAGAATCTTTGTCTTCTTGACATTGAGCCTCAATCCATATTGTAGGCTGCAGTCCTTGACACTCTGCAGCAGGCGCTTCAGGTCCTCTTCAGTTTCAGCAAGCAGGGTTGTATCATCCGCATAACGCAGATTGTTGATAAATCGTCCACCAATCTTGACCCCACATTTCTCCTCATAGAGCCCAGCCTCCCGGATAATCTGTTCTGCATATAGGTTGAAAAAGTATGGAGATAGGATGCATCCCTGGCGTACGCCTTTCCCAACTTTGAACCATGCAGTGTTCCCTTGCTCTGTTCTGATGACTGCCTCCTGGTCCAAGTATAAGTTTCGCATTAGAACGATCAAGTGTTCTGGGATTCCCATTCTTCTCAGAGTCAGCCATAGTTTGTTATGATCTACAAAGTCACATGGGTAGAAGTTTTAAATTACAATTGATTTTCAGTGACTGTATACCCACCCCTCAATCTCATGTAAGAGTTCCTTTGCATGTTCTTCAGCAAAGGAACCCATACTTTATTAGAGTGTCTCCAAGGAGAAATCTTTTTTAAAAAAATAATTTTATTATTCTTTTCTAACAAATGGCCCCAGGGATAGGGACCAGGCAAGGAGGAATAGTGGAAGCAAGACCCCAGCCCCACAATTCTTCCCCACCCACCCCTTTCCTCCCAAGGATAAATCTTAAAACATGTTGATTAAGATAAGCTTAAAAGAAAAGCAGTAAGGTTTAGGAAAATATTTGTCTATTAATAATACTAAATAGTAACCTTAAATAATAATGATAAATAATGTTAAGTGGGGAAAAAAGTAAAAAGTTTACCTAAATTAGTCTGCCATGCTCCTGCTGAAAAGGGGCAGGTAACAATATTGAGGAATGTGATATTAGTCATCTGAGCCGAACTGTATTGAAGGAGGGATGTAAATTAAATCTATGGTGATATGAAAAAAGAAAATTTAAAGCAACGTGTTCAAACTAATTTTAATATCATGTAAGGGTTAGACTAATGTTAGTGTTCATAATTTTTGATAGTATAAAGATACCTGATATTCTTAATAGATACTCTTTTGTTGTCATTAAGTATATCTGTCTATATAAAAGGATAATTATTGTCTAAAATAATGGATAACCTCACAAAAGAAAAATCATGTAAAATTATTTAACATTTGAAGGCATAGCAGATTTTCCAAAATGTGGATCTAAGGTAAAAAGACCTCAAACCCCACAGAATTCATCAGAATTCATCAGTGTGAAAAACCCCTGCTTCAGCCTCCAGCTTGGTAGTTGTTGTTGTTATGTACTGTCATGTGGGCTGCTCTATGCTGAGCTAATCTCACAGTCTCTGACGCCCCTATTCTATTATCTAGTTATTGTATTTGTTGTTGTTGTTGATTGCCTTCGAGTCGAGCAGATGCATAGTGACCCTATGAACAAAAGGCCCAAAGCTCCTCTACAACTATCAGTATTTATCAGTGTTCACAGAGTTTCTGGAGGCATGTTGTTTAGGAAGTGAATGACACTCCTGCTGTGTAGATGCCCATAAATTTGTTGTTTGCTCTCACTAGATATGCTCAAAACTTTGAGTATTTAAACTGGTCTATACATCACTGTAAAGAATTTGGCTACAAACCAAATGTTTCTTTTGTTCCACTGCACGATAGCTTGGAATTCAGAATTGCCCCATTATTACTGGGCATTATTTTTGAGTAGAGGGTGCTTTCTTGCCACAGTTCCACAGTTTCTTGGTTCCTCAGTTACTATTGCATGTTTTCCTTCTCTTCAGGCTATCTTCTGAAGATGGAGAAGATGTATCTGCTTATTTTTACGAAAGTGATGACTCTGTTGAAGCAAGAGTAAAGACACCTTACCCGGGTGAAATGGACTTATTGGGAGAGATCCTGGATACCTTGAGTACACACAGCTCAGATCAAGGGAAACTGGCAGCTGCAAGGAGCTTGGATTTCTTTAGATCAATGGAGGATATTGATTACAAACCAACGGTCAGTTGGTTTTCAACTTATAAAACTAAATGAAAACATTCTTGCCCTTTTTGGAATTGTCTGATCTTGTAACTTCAGTTGGTGGAACTGTTTAACCTCTCATAGGTTAATGTCAGCACTTCAAAAACGTGTTAAAATTTAACCACAAAGAATTATTTCTAGTAGCAAAACTCCAGTATTTCTCGTTTCATTTATCTGATTCTGGTAGCTGTTGTCATTGGCTGAAGTTCTTTTTCTCAAACAACATGTTCTTTTTTTTTTAATTAGTTTGCTTACAAAGTTCATATACATTGTGTTTCACACTATTCTAAACATATATTCTTGAAATCTTATTTTCTGTGAGGAAATTTTAAGAAACAAAATTTTCTGTCTCTTGAATCTTTAGTTAATATTTTAATGTGTACACTCAGATTATTTTTTCCATGTTTTTGTTTGGGGGGAAAATGGAATGCTTTGTAAACACCAACATAGCACCTAAGTAATGGCAGCTCTGGTTTTATTGGAACTTTATTATTTGGACTTAATTATTTCACCTAGTTTGAAATTTCTAGGGGTGAATTGCAAGGAGATGGAATCAAAGTCTATCTCATTTTCATTCCTGTTAATAGACTTATTTGAAGATACTCAGAAACAGCTCTCCATATTCCAGTTTCTCTCAGGGCAACTTCAAGTCCCCAGCCTTAAAAGACATTAAGTTCTTTTTCAAAATGGGAAAGAAAATGTTGCTAAAGTAATGTTATAATTACATTTTAAACTTCTGAATTTGGTGTTTCTTGTTTCAGAACAAATCCAATGCTCCTAGTGAGAATAACCTGGCCCTGCTCTGTGATGGTTCCGGGGACCAGTCGGAGTGGAATCTTGGTCAGGATGATAGTGCCCTCCATGGCAAGCATCTCCCTCCATCACCCAGGAAGCGGGCTGCCTCGAGTGGGCTCACAGACTCATTGTTTATTCTGAAAGAAGAGAACAGTGAAAGACCCCTCAGCATTGATGCTGTGAATGGCCCTCCTGTGGTAGAAAAGCCAACTTCCACTTCAGGGCTGGGTTTCCAGCTCACTCCTCCTGCAGTTTCCCAGACTGATCCAGGGAAAATAGAAGAGAGAGGAAAAACACTAAGCCAGATTTCAGATGATCCACTTATACCCAGCCTGAGGCGAAGCCCATCTACTTTTGTTCCTTGGGAAAAAGAAGGGAAGGAAGCCAAAGAGCCTTCAGAAGACATGGGGCTGCTTAATGAAGTAGTGTCATTGTGTCACATAACGTCTGCCTTCCAACAAGGTTTAAACATTTCGGAAGAAAATCGTGGAAACCATGCTTAAATTAACCCTTGCATCCAAGCTTCTATGGAGACATTGTAGGGCCTTGTAATTTGTACAGTAAATGAAAGTATTTGTAGGAATGACAACTCTTGCTACTATTTAAGACTTATTTTTCATTTGGAACATACATTTCTACTTGTTCTGTCATGGATATTTATTATCCATTGATTTTTAATTGTAAAGCTAATTCCCCTACAGCACTCTTAAATCAGGTACAAGTTTGTATGTATATTGAAAGTATGTATTGAAATAGGACTTTCTAGAATTTGGTGCTTAATGCCATTCATTTCATTTAAGCTAAGTATGCATCTATAACCCTTGGAAATAGCCAATAGCTACCATACTAATCTGGTTGAGCATGAATTGATCAAGATATCAAAACAAGCCTGAAACTGTTGACCCACTAATTGCCTTAATCTTAAGCCTCTATTAATTACTTAATACTTAAATAATTGATGAACTTATGTGTTAGCTTTTCGCAAGATAAGTTATTAGTGTTCTCTTGAGCAATAATGACTTTTTCTACTTCAAATTAAGGTCAAAATTAATCTTTTCAAAGTTAAAAAGAAAACTGTCTTGTAGAAATATTTAGTTTGTTTATAGAGGAGAATTGCAGCCATGTTTTAAAAAAATTTATAACGGTACATACTCACCTTTCACTCATTGAAATATATGAAGTGCTGATTTACAATGTGAAGATGATTATCCTGTTTACAAATGAGACACTTTAAACATTTTTCAGTCTCTGTATGCCTTCCCAGGAGTCCACCTCCCCCCCAAAGCCAAATGCAATATAAACTATCACAATAAATGAGTCATGTCTCCTTCCCCCTTAATTAGTAATTCTCTGTCAAAACATTTCCTGTAGCCACCTCAGATTCACTTTTTAAAAATAATTTACTTCATCTTCTTAGAAATGTGAGGTATACAAAAAAAAGTAAAAAGATAATACAGACAGTTCCTGTATAAAACATCCTCCTAGCCACTGTTCTCCCTAGTAATGTTTTACAATACTATGGTACATTCATTAAAATGATTGAACCAATATTAATATATTGTTGTTAACTTTACCAGTTTACTCAGATGTCCTTAGTTTTACTTTCTCTGCTCTGAGAATCAGTTCACGGTACCACATTATGTCAACTGTGACCATGTCTCAGACTTTGCTTGTTTATGATGACCTTGATAGTTTTGAGGAGTACTCATGCACTATAGGATGGTCCTGTGTTGAAATTTATTTTTCTCTTATGATTAGATTGTGCTTATGTGTAGTCTTCAGAGAGTTCCAACCCCAAAGCTGCACCTCTCTGGCAATTCAAATCCAAGAGTGGCTCTGAGGGAGAAGGGTAGGCGCTCTCCTGTGCCGTGTAATTACAGATTTGGTAACCCAGGGGAGGGTTAGCTATGAGTTGGTTCTGACTCAAGGGCAATGAGTTTGCATTTTCTTTTCTATGTGTTTTTGGAGGGACAATCCCAACTTATGAATTGCCATTTTGTTCCTAAACAGAGCACATACTAACATGGTTTCTGAATATTGGCATTGACTTTGATCACCTGTCTGAGGTAGTCTTTGTCAGCAACTAGAAAGTTGCTCTTTTTATCATCTTTCTATATTATATACTTTGGAATAAAGTCACTGTGCACAGTCCACACTTACGAAGTAGGGAGTTATATATCTCCCTACCTGCTCCTTGGCAAACTATTTATTTACAGAAACTGGGATTCTTCTGTACCAGAGAACATTTCTTTAAATTTACTTTTAAGCTTTGAAATTTGTCTTGAGAAGGCTTTGCTTCATGATAAACCAAACCAAACCACTTCCTAAGCTTTGTGATAAGTTAGATTCAAGATTGACAGATAAAACTGCTATGAAATCATTGTTTTCTCTCCCTAATTTGTTGTTGGTATGTTTAGTTATGTCTACTTTATATACTTCCAATCATGGATGATTTTTTTTAAAAACTTTCATTACTAGAAAAGATGTTTCTTGAGCCCTTCAAGAACTTCATGAGAATTTTTAGTTTTAAAAAAAATCCTGGAAAGCAATTTGTTAAAAATATAGTTTAAAGATGTATATTCAGGTCAGTCTTTAAATCACTTTAAAGAAAAATCACCAAGTTGGGAGTTTATTTATTTATTTATTTATTATGTTAGATTACATTCCAAATTCTAAAGGAATATTTTTATTTGAGACACCCATTTATGTTTTATAAAGGAAGACAAACCTTGTTTTTTCTTATAAGGATGGACTCTGTGTATATGTATTAAGGACAAAAGGTATCTAACCCTTGTTTTTTAAGTAAAACTCATGATTATTGTCGAAATCTACATTTACATACTCAACACAAAATTCCATTTCCCTTTCTTAAAGCATGTCATAAAGACCATATAGCAGGAGAACTTTTTAAATGAGAAAGAAAAAAGTTCACCATGGTGACCTACTTAGCAGGTATATCATCATAATTTGTGAAAGAAAAATACAGCAGCTTTTTAACATGAATTTTGGGATGAGCTTTTTAGTTCAGAGCTGATAGTTTGAATAATGACATCTCTTCAACAGTCATATTGACTGTTCAATCTTCAATGGCCGTATTTGTTTCTGAGGCTTTGTTTTATTTTGTTATATCTTTCAGTACCCTTACAAGATGTTTGACTGTCCTACTGTGCTGTTTTGGACAGAGTTACTTACTAACAAGTAGTATCTTTGTCTGAAAGATACTATTTTTGAAGTGATTTGTGCCTTATTTTAACTTGCAAAATTAGCTGTTATCATTAAAACCAAAACCAAAATTCTCCATGTTATTCTTTAAAATATTCAGAAGATTAGTAGCAAGTGTTATTGGTGTTTTAAGCCATAAAGTATTTTAAGTAGTCTAAGTCTGCTCTTAACAGTAGTCTTTCCAGTATTATGGTAGTGGATATAATGAGAATGAAGTCAACTTAAGGTGAGTTCTGAGGTAAACAAAAGTGTTACCTCATTTTCTACTGCTTTCATATTTTCTATTGCAACAAAACCAAATATTGTTAATTTCTCTTACTATTCTGTTGGGAAAAATAAGATTCTTTTAAAACAGTCAATACCTATGGTACAACAGAATTGTATAAATGAGTAAGACTTTTGGCTTTGGTACAGAGTTTTTTATATGACTACTTAAAATCAATTCTAATTCTCTCTGAATTCTACTCTAGCCTTTATACTTTTATCCTTATATATTACTCCCATAGTATTTCAGGTATTTTGGAGAAGTATACAGATTGAGGAGTTGTTATTTTAAGTGTTATTAGGTTTTATATTTTGATGACTACCTACTTAAGCATATTTTCAAAAGGCACCAAAATATAGCACGATTATTTTTCTGACAGAATTAATTTTAATTTAGAAAATATTTATTAAATCTTTGTACCAGTCTTACACAAGGTACGGTAACTGAAAATGTGACCAAGTGAAAGAATTGAGTTAGTCCCTGCTGTGAAGGAACCAATTTAAAATTATTGCAGATCTTTAATAAAATAATAAAATGACCCTTTGCTTAGAGTGATTAGTCCAAAATTTTAAGCACTCAAATCCAGTAAAAACTATTTTATAGCTGTATAATCTAAGCTGTGGTCTAAGAACAGAGTCATAGTATCATTTTTAGTTTCAGTAACTTTCTTTTTTATTACTATGCTAAGTAAAATAATGCTGCTACCTAAGATACCCACTTAAAGGACACACCAGAGACTTTTGAGAATGAGCATCACTGTTTGATTCTGTAGCACCATTTTGCTGCAACTTTTAATCTCCACAGGGCTCTCTATGAGGAATGCTGCACCCTTCTAATTCATAGAACCACCTTACTTAGAAGTAACTGACTGTGGATGCATGGTGACAGATATGCAATTTTTACTATTTTTAATATTGATAAGAGCATCCTTCAGAAATGCACCCTTCTTCCCCCCATCCCTTTTAAAATTAAAACTATATGACAGAACTGTTGTTAGGATTCTGTATTAATATTCTAATAATAGGATCCAGGAATGCTGGTGAATTAGTTTCTTTCTTAAATATGGTGAAGACATAGACTCCTGATCAAGAGGAGAAAACTGTGAATATTGTCATAATCAGTAGATCTTCACTCCCTTCTAAAAATTTTGGATTTTTAGGAAAAGATAGATTCTTTTCAGGAATAAATTTTCTAACACAAATTTCTTGTCATTTACCATGAAAGACTCAGCTTCTGACTAGATAGTTGCAAATAAGAATATAAAATTTAAGAATGTAAAGTGAATTACCAAATCTAACCTCCCAAAGCACTTCTTATGTTGATATTGACATCTTACCCATGTTAAGCCCAGTAGTGTTATTAGTGTATGTTTTGAGCAAACTGCTTAATATTTTAATTTGGACAAAAGTTAGAGAATTACATGTGTTTAGAGAGAAACATATTTTGGAAATAATAGAATTTTGTGCAATATTTTTTCTTGTGTCATTTAGTTTATATATATATATATATATGCAATCTTTTTTCTGGCAGATGCCTTAAGGTCATGTTTTTCAGTATTTGTTCAAAGGACTACGAACTGTGTTACTGCTTTTTGCTAGCTGTGGAAAGCAGTGTCTGTGAAAATGTACCGAGCATTGAAATTTGACCGATTGTTCTTGCATCCTTGAGGCTACAGCATAAATCATCTCTAACGTTGACTACTATTGGGAAGGACTCTGTGTATTAAAGTATTGCTTTGGGAATTAAAAAAATATATATGCAAATAAATACTGGATGAACTCCACATTACCATAAAGTGCCCCAGCAATGTAGTTCTAAAATAAAAATTGATCACAATGAAGGCTTTGCATGTTAGTGACTCTTCTTTAATCGTCCTGTTATGTCCTTGCTATAAAAATGTTTCCACTTCACTTGGATACCTTTGTTACCAAGCTTTGTAACTATTACAGTGGAAATTTAAGGTTAAGTATCTCTAGCAGGCCTGACTGAGAGATTTCTTTCATGTTTAGGCTTGAA